TTCATTACGGCTATGTAATATAACTCAAAACTGACAGTGTTTCATTCAAGAAAACCAAATGAACTTGATTTGAGACATAAGAAACATAAACCCAAATTTAACCCCAAAATCCATCCATCCGCTGCAGTTGCACAAAACTTATCTAACAAGCACCCCACTCAATCTCTTTACAATTAAAAATGATACAAGAACAAAAAGAAACAAACAAAACTTTAAAGAATCAAAGACAATCCACCTCAAAGAAAAACTTGTATATCTGAATATAAACAAACATGCTAGATCTTTTCCCTCTTATTTTCTCTTTCAACTCACTATAAATTCTTTTCTAAACAAACTTGTATATCTGAATTTAAACCACCTTATTTTCTCTTTCAACTCTCTATAATTTCTTTTCTAAAATCTCTGCTTCTTAACTGACTAAAACTCTCTTATCTTTCTTCTATTCTTTTCAACTTTCTTTCCAGTCTCAAAACAGTACTGATGATAATGAAAAACTTAGGAACATGGAAACCAAGATACAAAACTAAATATAATATCCAACACCAGGGACTTCCATAGACTAAGAAGTTTCCCAGCGATTGACCGTATTTATTTAACATGATCTTATACTAAAGAGCCTCCTATTCCTGATGGAACCTCCATATCCATTCAGATAGGAGGAAATATTTCCTCCCTCAAATTTCCTATGCTCGATCTTCTGAGCTCCTAGGGCAGGGTGACAAAACCCCACCTCACCTGGTAGAACCTAGAAAAAATTCTAGAACAGTCTCTAAATGGTCAGGCACACTGTATGGGCTTCTGGAAACAAAAGAAACATCAGTACGTGGTAGGCACACTTGAAAAATATATTGCAGAAGTGCAAGTCAATCCCTTTTGAAATAGGGGGAATTTTTTATTTTACTTTTTGAAAGTGACAAACATCAATATAGAAACCATAGGTCTTAAACACCATAATTATAAGTTAAAAGATTTATCATGCGTCTGAACTTCAACAGCAACAAGAACTTCCATTGAAAATTACCTGCCATTCCTATGACAATGATAATAACTGGTTTGCGCCTGAAGTTTGTGGCTGAAGACCCAGCATGTCTAGATGATTCTTCGATATTTAAGTTCTTAATAGAATCAGCAAGCTCTTCTTGTGCTTTACCATTATCCTTAATATCAACATACGAAAAAAAATAAAAATCAAGACTAGCTCTTAAATTCTTAATAACTTATTGACCAAGACAGTTGAAATGTGGCCCATACACTTCCATACACATAAAGTAAAACCCACATAAAATCTCATAACTAAGTGATTAGCCCACCAAACAATAAATTTAGAAAACAGTTTCCTCCGACTTACAGAACAAGGCAGTTGAAATATGAACCAAATGAGAAAGTTAGAAAATAATTGCATCCGACCTTTTAATACACGAAACAGAACTGATATGCATGTTTCTTGAATAAACATGACAAAAGAAGATTATAACTCCTCAATATTTAAGTTCTTAATTGAATCAGCAATTTCCTCTTTTGCTTTACCCTTCTTCTTAATGTAAAAAAAAGACTACGAATCAAGACAAGCTTTCAACATACGATTGGAACATGGTCAAAATGGGATCCAAACATACACATAAAACAAAGAAAATAAACACCAACGTTTATTTAAAATCTCATAACTAACGGAATAAAATCCCAAACGGACGAGACAAGAAACTTGGAATAATTTCATCACTTTCTTATGCACCAAACAGCTAAAATTTCCATGTATCTAAAAGAAAAACAATGAAAAATACATATAATTAAGGAAATTAAAGTTACTTAATATACATTTGAATCTTCAGACAACATTGGCTTGCACTCGGCATCTTCCGATGGTTTATGAACGTTATCAGAATCGACATCCATTGCTGGCTGAAACAACAACAAACAAACGATGATAAATAAGGGACATGAAGTTCAGACTTTTTCTTAGACTCTTTTTTCTCCCGCCTGGCCTCTGAGAGAGAACAGCCCCTAAAAGCCTAGCATAAATGTAAACAAAGAAGACTCACGGTCGGTCTCGCGCTCGCCCACCATAATTTTAATTTAAAACTCATCAAAACAAACTACAATCTACAACAATAAATATGGCCGAGGACGTTCGTTTATCGATCAAAAAACTTTCCTCAAGTACAAACATATCCCAGTTTGCCGCGCGGCTGATTTCTCTTTCGTTGCTATTACAAAAAAAAAAAAATTAAAAAAAAAACCACTCATCCTTTCCTTCATTAGACAAGTCTTAATTTGAGTTTTTCAAGTGAGAAAAATGACGTAATGCATATGAGAATATCAGTACAACAAGAGAGTAGAAAATCAGTGCAAACCGTTAGGAGGGAGGCTAAGGCCACACGAGCGGAAGAAAGACGGCGGCGACGATGGCGGCCACACTGTGCTGCTTAAAGCGAGAAGAAGCCGGAGAGGAGGAGGAAGAACATGTGAGCGTGGGAGGGAAGAAGCAAGTATTCAGGTTCAGAGTCCTCTTTCTTTTATAGTCAAATTAAAAATTGTCCCTTTTTTTTTAAAAAAAAAATAATTATAAACAACGAATTTATTTGAATTTTAAAGATTTAGGAAATAAAAATCAACAACGAAAAAAAATGGGTTCAAAATAAGGGATAAAAAATTATTTGAATTTTAAAATATACATTTAATACAAATTTAATATGAAAAAAAAAAAAAATTTAAAGATAGAACATATTAATTTGAAAATGAACCAAATTGGAGCCTGATCATCATTTTTTTTGGACGAGAAGATTTAATTTATGATTAAATCCTAAATAAATTGTATATTAGAAGGTCAATGGTATTAGTCTTTTAACTCTAATGGTAATTATGAAGAAGGATCGACTTGCCTATAATGATTATATTCACTAATAAAATTTGTTCGAATTAGATATATATTAAGATATTTAGATAATATATTTTAATAAATAGTTTTCTTTATTTTTGGGAGTTATTAGTAGTATATTTTATCTTAGTATTTGATTAGCAATATATTTTATCTCATTTACAAGATTTAATTAGATATATATTTCCCCTAATTTTTAGGTATTAGTTGATAGTTTGTATCCTATTTGTAAACATTAATGAAGAACATATTTTCGATCTCAATTCTATTTTTATTTCTCATTCTTAACAATATATCTTCAAAAAAAATATATTTAATATGATGTATTGAAATTAATATTTAATATGTTAATATGAAATGATACAAAAATAAATCTAATTTGAAAATTTGAATATAATATTTAATATTTTATCCCGAACTTTTTTAGTGCCTAAATAAGGATGTTTATTGCTTAGGCAATCTTACGGACTCGAGATACTTAACTCAAATCATAAATGTTCGGTTGGGTTAGATTTTTTCTTTTTTCTCTTTTGTTTAAGTTGAGTTGAATTTTTGAAAAATCAAAAAATTTGAGTAGTTGACATTCATTACGTCAATCCCACAAATAAGAAAATATGGTTACAGACTCAATCTAATCCTACTCTACTTCTAATCCTACTCTACTTCTAAAATATGGATAAGTAGGATTTTTAAATAATTAAAAAAAAAACAGGACAACCAAACCCAACCTGAGAATAGAGAGTTGGATTGGGTTGCAAACTCTATTGGAGTTGTTCGAGTCACCAACAAAAACGTACTCGAAATTTGAATTTGTCCAAAAGATTTCTCTAATTCAGTTCGTGTACACTTCTAAATGTATATATATATATATATCAGAGTGAATTGGAGTTTAACACACACCGACAGACAAGACTATGACAAGGCTCAATTAGTCAAAGTCGTAATTGAATTTTTTTTTTCTTTTTCCTAAGTGATTTTTGAATTTAGCTTAAAAACATCATCACTTTAATCATTGTTTAATTAAAAAGATGCATTCATAAGAGTTATAGGATCCTCTTATTCTTTCCTCATTTATTTCGTTAGGATTTTGAAATATAAACCCTCTTTAATTTTGAGTTTGAATTTCTTCGAGAAACTAAATAGTAATACAACATGTTTGTTAGATGAGATAGGGAGATAAAGGTTTAGAACGACTTATAAGTTATCATGCTTGTATATCCAATGTTTGAGTCCAACAATTATTCCAGTAATGACATATCCAATTTGGCCAATGGACGAATACGTAATTTTTTTATAAAAAAAAGTCACTTGTTTGATAAGAAATAAAAAGAAATATCGAAAATTCAAGTGTCTGAAGCTAAAGCAGCTACTCTCGAAGTAACAGAAAGAAAAACAACGATTGGAACGGGAGATTCAGAGTCAAATAGAGGATTCTTCACTTTTTTCTCTCATTTAAAACCGTGCATGAGACTTTCATCTAACACGGCTACTAAGTTAAGTGATAAAAGAAAGAAGAACTCATCTTCTTTTTCAAATAATTATACACGTAATAATTTAGTATGTCTTCAAGAAGTTGCTTTTCAAAGAGAGGTCTTGCTAGCTTCTTTACCTAGTGAATGACTTTTTAAATACTTCTTGAATCCAACTATGGTCTATGTAGACTTTTTTTTTTTTTTTTTATATATATATATTTTATTTATCGATCACTCCATGTTGTAGGCATGTCTCCTTGTTTGAATTATCGTCGTTCTACATTAAAGATAAAGAGTTATTTAAGTTTAGGCTAGCCATCAAATTTATAAAATTATTTAAGCGTTAAAATTGGAGCTATTTTTCCTTTAAATTGTGAGTTGATTGAATTTATTATTTCACGAGGATCGTTTGAGTTTAAAAAAATTTACAACCCGAACAACCCAGAAACACATCTTCTTTTTGATTCCCAACATCCCAAACTTGCACTCGCACTCACAACACAACTATTTGATTCCCGGGTTTCAAAACCTTCCAAACAAACCCTCTTATTCCAAAATGGACAAATGCCCCATAAACAAGAGAATGTGCGAATCAAGGATCGAGTGCATAGAGAATGTGCGAACCAAAGATCGAGTGCATGACTCATAATTTATAGACCCAAGATATCGAATCAAATCAGATAATTTACTTGAAACTACAAAAAGAAACAAGAAATCAAAATGTAGTTTTCAGTATTGTCTAAATGAATGAATGAGAGCTCAAAGTTGTTAGTACAAGAAAATGGTATTTACAGCACTGTTCTACTTTACCAAATCATCAACATATACTACTCCTGCTGCCTCTTGCACCATCTCTGTTTTCAAGGCCTCTCAAGAATGATCTAATTGCAAGGCATTCCGCAGCATATGTCATAAAAGATACCAATACCAACCCCCCTACAACCATCAAACCTAACCTGTCAAACACAAAAACACAACATATAAGGTTCGATCATTTTCAGGATGATGGCACAATAAATAATACTAACAGCCCAAGCTCACCGCTTGCAAATATTATCCTCTTTACACTTTTCCTTTCGAGTTTCCCCTCAAGAGAGATTTCCACACTCTTATAACTAGACATCGAGTGATGTGCCAGCGAGAAAGCTGAGCCTCGAAGGGGTGGACATGGGGTGATGTGCCAGCATGGGCGCTGGGCCCTGAAGGAGAGTGGATTGTGAGATCCCACATCGGTTGAGGTGGAGAACGAAATATTTTTTTTAAGGGTGTGAAAACCTCTCCCTAGGAGACAGCATTTTAAAAACCTTGAGGGAAGCCCGGGAGGGAAAGCAAAGAGGACAATATTTACTAACGGTAGGCTTGGGCAGTTTCAATAAGAGACCCACCCACAGACAGGTTCTTGACTACCATCACCTTATATCTCTACTGGAGAAGCAGCAAAAGAAAGGCAAATCACCATAACAACAACGATGATACAGTCTAATGTTATAAATGGTATTAAACAGAAACTTCATATTATAATCTTTAAGAAGACTCGTGTCTTTTAATGATCTTATTCAAGTTTCTTCTACATTACGAGAAAATACAAACCTATGATACAACAGGAAAACTTTATGAGTTTAATTTTCAAGCAAGAACAGCTGGTTTCTAACATTGTTACTGTTTGTGACAATAAAGAACACAAGTAAATTACCTCAAAAACAGAGCAGTAAATCCCAGAATACAAGGCAAAGTTGGAGCAACGACAGCCAAGAAAGCCATTCCTAGACCATAAAACCATGTGGCAACGTCACAGCTTGATGCCTGCCACTGATGATCTAATATAGAAGAGAAATCAACAAAACTTAGAAACTATGCATCAACAATATTTGGTTGGTTGCTGATACTACACATTAGAAGTTGAGGGGAGCTGCAAAGCATTAAAGCAAACCTTTAGCAGAATAATCAAAAGACTCGGAATCAGAGGAGAAGGATCCTGCTTGTGTTGCCATTGATTTACCCCATTTGTAAATAAAATGGAGATAGCCTCCAAATAGTAGAATGAAAATTGTGAATATCCACTCATACATCAACAGTAAGCCAGTCCACGGCATCACTTGCCTTGGTACGATCACAAATGCAAGTGCAAGGGCAATTACAGCAGCACTAAAACAGACGAAGATTGACATTCCACCCAAATAAACAGGTATCTTGGACTGCACATCATCACAGGAACTTATAAACAAATCAAGGTATAAACTTCAAGAAGACGAAACAAAAAGTCGTATGCTACTCTTCACCATAATGAATAGTATGACTGTAACATGTAACTAATACTTAAATAGAGAGCTAAGGAGGAAATGTACCTGATGGTTCAAATTAACAGTATGTAAGGTAGAAAGACCAGTATAATTAATTGCCCCAACAGACTTTATTTTGTAGTAAAGATGCCTGACTTGATCGCATAACAAGTTTCTCCACGATGCATTAGAGTGCCAACGTGTCTGAGAAAAACAAGAGACCATTTAGATCAAATCACTGATACTGACCTCGTAATAACTATTTGAAAATAATTTACCCTGTTGCTTACCTGAAGACAAGATTGATAAAAATAGAAGATTAATGCAACAAGGGGAAGAAGAACAAGAATTTTGACAATAAGATCATCATTAGGATTTCTACCCCCACCAGTTCCAGGAAGGGAGTCTTCTAGCTTATCTCTTGCATTCTACAATAAGCTCAAACAAAAGAAAAGGTTACAAGTGGCACAACATTTTACACTCCTAAATAAGACAAAAATGCATAATAAGAGTGACTATATCGGTAGTCAAACTCGAGCTGCTGAACTAATGCACTGATTTTGAAGTGTATGATTGCAAATGTGCAATGCTATGGCACATGATAAGCCGTACGTGTACACAGGCAGCAAAGGAATAGAAGAAACTATAAATAAAATTTGAGAAAAATACCTGCCAGATATCTACAGGTTTTAAAAGCCAAGATGTCCACCAGTCCCAAGGTTTGAGGGGGCCTAGTGTATAGTGGATAACCCGAAGTTCGCTCTCATCTACCATCCACTGCAAAGATATGCATAATGCTCAAATAAGAAGATTGCAGGAATTGACATAAAAATTGAAGGGGAAGTTTTTCTTTTTTAAAATGACAGCTCTTTCACAATCTAGAGAGTTTTACTTCCAAACAGAAGCATAAATATGAAGTCATTATAAGAGTTCATTTCTTTTCACAGATTGGATTAAAAGATGTAGCGAGGGAATTATATGTCATGCAAAAATATAACGAGGGAATTTCCAGATCTAACCTAATAGGTGAAAATGCATACAAAGCTCTAACAAAAAACATATAGGAAAAAAAAAAACTGGATTAACAATATCTCCAATAAGGTACCACACCCTACAGTAATAATTCGCTATGAGCAAGTATAAAAGGTACAAATCATTCACACGGCACCTATTAGCAGACTTAACCTCAAAACCAAGTATAATCTTTTTTTTATATAGGATACAGTAATATTTCATTGATAAAAGGAAATTACAAAATGATGAGATCCTATCCACTGGATTACAGGAAACTTTTTCAATTGGTTATGAGCTATAATTACAAACGGGAGCACTTATTAATTTGCACCACGATAGGGACAAGAAAGTGACTGAAGTGAATTTTTTTGGGGATCTTGTTTCTTATCAGTGAAAATCAGAGAGTTGTGCTCAAGCCAGATAGACAACAAAAAATCCCAAACAAATTTTAGCTCTAGGATCTTCCTTCCTCTCTTGAATGGGTGATAGAACACAAATGGAAGTTCTGGATATTATAAAGAAGACGGTCCGCGAACCAAATGCTTATGAATATAATCCCAAAAGATACAAGCCTGTTTACATGGAATGAAAAGGTGATTTACAGCCAGAGCGACTGAATGAATCTCCAAATAAATTGTCATCTAAACCCCACTTCTCATGGTTAATACTTGAACTGATTACTTGTCTTATTTTTCCATGAAGCAAGAGTTTCCATTTGAAGAGGAAGCCCCATTTAAAGTTTCCATTTGATTTCCCATTCTATTGATTTTTCTGTGGTAAACCTCCAGATGTTTATTCTTTCAATGCTAATATCACCGGGACTTGGGAGTGAGGAGAGTAACATATAAACTCTTCTTAGTAGGAAGTGAAATGTCAACTCTTTTACAGCTGCAGGTATCATCGATAATAAACGTTTCCAACTACAATTTTATTATAGATCAAACAGCATTTCATTGATCCATCACAGATCAATTTTATTAACAGAGTGATATGGATCTAACCTAAAACTCTTAAATACCATTCAAAGAAAAATACTGAAAGTAAATAATGAAGCACCGTTTGAGAGGAACGAGAATTAGTAAATATTCATTAAATTGAGGAAAAAAACCATTGAAAATGTCAGTAGACATACCTTGTTAGCAAGCATGTAAAGACCAACATCCGCATTATAAAGAGTAGAGAGTCGCTCCATTTCAGGAGCTGGTCTGGAATGTCGCACTTCTGGTGGTAAGTTTGGCTCAAAAACGTGTGCGTTGGGAAAATTAGAATAATATGAGTTCAAAAAGCCTTGATCCCCTATTAAATTAAAACCAGGGAATTCATCAAAGTTTGAGACATAAACATCATCCAGTTATCCAACCATAAATTTAAAAATTTTATTTAAAATCTTCAAGTTTCTCCAATAGAACCAGCAAGTTTAATAATCACCCATAAAAGGAAGCATAAAGTACAAATAAGATTTAGGAACAGGATCAACTACCTCCAGTGTAAGAGGGCAAAGTATTAACTTTGCTCATCATGTCATTGAAAATAGTTTCAGACGGTTCCACAACCATAACACCAGAATTCAGCCTTTCAGAATGCTTCAAGTTGGCACAAAATTTGCTACATTTAAAAAGATCTTCTATACTTTTCAACACGATTGTATCTGCGTCTAGATATACCACTGCATGGTAGAGTAATAAAAATTAAACAAAGAGCAGCTAAACACTACCGCTGCACAACGGTATAATAGAGATTAAAAAAAGAGCAGCAATACACTGCTTTTGAAGGGTAGCATACACACAAAAACTAAAATGAGTTATCCAGCCAAATATCACCACACTTTGGCATCCTTTACCGAGGTTTTCAATGATTGACAAGAACGCTAAATTTTGTACAATCTGCACATTAAGATTAAAAAAGTTCACCTTTCTTATAGTCAGTCATGTTAAATATTTTCAGCTTTGTATAGACACCCCAAAATCTTGATGGACGAACTTGATTAGGATTTGCTAATAAAGTAATCTTCTCCACTATCCATCCATCCGCCTGCAAAATTATTTTCAGCAGCTGAGCATTTTATTACAGAAAAGTAATCATTGTAATGTAGAATACAAACATACATGCAAGCATACTTTAATTTTCCCCCTCTTTTTGGCGAATAACCGAACTTTTATTGATAATAGATGAAAGAATACAAGGGCATACAAAAAGAGAGCCAATAAAAAAAAGGAAAAACTACAAAAAGGGTCCCTAATCAATAGAAATAACACTATCGAAAGGGTTTTGTTTCTATAGCCCACAGGACAAAATCTAAAAAGGACCAAACCACATTTGGAGATCTCACAAACCCTCTAAAAACTTCCATTGTTCTTCTACCCAAAAGTCCCCACATAATGGCATACACCATTGCTTGCCACAAAAAACTTCCCTTTGTGCAAAAAAAATAAAAAATAAATAAATAACAAAGGAACTCTTCGATCATCTCTTTGTAGCCCATACCTGGCCAAGCCTAGATTGATTCCAAACTGCATAAGCAAAAAAATAAAATATGTGAAAGGTCCTCTACTACCCTCCTACAAAGGATGCAACACTACAACCCCATCAAGTTTGGCACCCCCCTTAACCCCCTGTCCAAGGTGCTAAGTCTTTCGTGGAGGACCTGCCAAACAAAAAACTTGACCTCTTCTTGTGATTTTTCACCTTCCATGATTAGACATAGATTGAACCACGATAACCCTTTAGATGAACTAGGGTTCCAAGTACAAACATCTCTTCTGCCCAGATTGTAATGAAACTCCCCAAGCAAAGAAAGAAGATTGAGAATGCCCAATGTTTCCTCATTGGACAAAGCATGTGGCATCCCTAAAGATTGAGGCATGTGTGAAGACAAAATAGCCGCTACTGAGTGGTTCGCTTGCAATGATAATTGGAATAAACAAAGAAACAAAAGGAAAATGGGTCTATTCCCCAATCACTTATCCTGCCAGAAAAAAAAAAAAAAACAGAGAGAGAGAGAGAGAAAGTGAAACTCCTCAATGATGCCTTTCCAAGGGTTTCTAGATATGCTTTTGATTCCACTCGAGATCCATTCAAAAGGGGACGACTCACTGCTTGAATTTGGCCGCAAAGACCCTATGCCATAAGGCAGGGCCTCAAGATGAAGCTACTAAAAGAGCCTTGTTACAGGCTCTCACATTAGCAATCCCTAATCCCCCCAAGTCCACTGGCTTTGTAACCAGTAACCACCTCTTCGTTAACCAAGTGTGCCTCTTTTCCATCCTCAACTCTCTCCAAAAGAAACTCCTGATGCAGTGATTCTAAAAAGGGGATTCAAAGTAGGGAAGAAACTCACTCAAGGCTGACAGGATGAGAGTAAATCTTCCTTCTTTCAAGAAAAAACTTTTGTTTTCAGGACAACTGTCTTTCGGATCTTACTCATAATAGGATCCTATAACCATAAATGCTTGGGATTGTTACACAAGTGAAGACCTAAGTAAGAAGAAAGGAACGATCCAATAACCTTGCACCCAACCATAGCTGCCCGCCTACATAGCTTAACAAGATCACAGTTCAACCCAAAGAATTGGCACTTACCCTGTTAATCTTCAACCCAAAAATGGCCTCAGAGAAAGCTAGGAAATTATTCAGGTTGATAAATGACTTTTCACTACTCGAACAGAAAAGAAAAGTAATATCATCTCAGAGGGAAGTTATCCCTATCAAGCTAGGAAATTATTCAGGTTGATAAATGACTTTTCACTAAATTCTCAGCCATTAGGGGAAAAGGCTCGAGAAAACTCCCTTATCTCCATTTGAAAATTAACTAATTACACATAATTTCACAAATATCCACACACTTACAGACTAAATCAACATATAGAAAGGAATCCGAAGTAGCCAGCAAATTTAACTTCCTAGTCCGAAAATTGCAGAAGAAATACAGAAAATAAAGAGAAAGTATACATCAAATGAGTTGCTCTTATAGCTCAGATTTCTTGGAAACAAAGAACAAACTAAAAACCTGACCTCTAACAGCCTCTTAGCATACTCAGAAACCCCATCAGAAACCAACGCCACCATGTCCTTGTTGGACCCAGTGTCGCGAATCGATTTCCCAAGAACTCGAACCCCCAAAAGAAATTCATCGCCATACAAAAGCGTGACATAAGCTTCGTCGGAAGACTGCGATCCGGAAGAAGAAGCTGCTGATACTCGAGATTGAATGAAAACCAAGGCGATCGCCACGAAAATCAAAGCGCAAAATTTCATTATAATCTAACAAAATAAAATGAATCCCCAAATTTCGTCGGAAAATTGGGAATTTTTGGATGAAGAACAAAAGGGGAATCCTTTTGAAGGCTTTCTGCTCCAAAGTCGAGTACTACGATCGAATCGATTTGTCTCTCTGTTCATGTCGCCGCTTTGACACTTTTTTTCAGGCACTTCCAGTTTGAAAATTGTGGAGCCGAATCTCGTGCGGTTGATTCCACCCATACTTTGCTGTAACCATGTGATTTTATATTAGAAACGATTTTAATGGAATAAATTCTATTACAGTTCAAAGTTTTGCTTAGGATAATTGACTATAAAGTTAAAAATTTTATATAGAAATAAAATAATTTAAATAAGCAATAGAGGAAATCAAAATAATTTAAATGCACAAAATAACGTCACGACCCAATATTCTACCAGTTCTGGGATGGCTACGGTCTGTCCCCTTTCCCTGGGTTGTAGTGTGGGATGACTGTGTTGTTCCCAATTGTAGCTTGTTGGTGTGGGGCGTGTCGAGGAGGGCCGCTACCTGAAGGGCTTTCGCATAATCGAAGGATGATTGGGCTGTCACATTCTCCTTCAAGTCCTCCCTCAAGCCAGCCATAAATCGTTCGGCCTTCAACTCATCCGAACTAACATAGGCTGGAGAAAACCTCACAAGCCTATTGAACTCTAAGTCATATTCCTCCACTGATTTGTCTCTCTGTTTCAGTTCGAGGAATGATGCCTGCATTTTCATTCTGGCAGTGATTGGGAAATATTTGCGGAGATAAGCATCTTTAAACTAGCATCAGGTAATAAACTCTCCTTGTGGTATAATGGTCTTCTGAGCACCCTTTCACCAAAAGTGCGCCTATCCTTTCAACATATACGTCCCACAATGGACTTGATATTTTAGCAGGTAGTTCATAAAATGGAAGGTCATTTCTATGGCCTCTAGTCAATTCTCTGCGGCAATCGGATCCACCTTGCCTCTGTCAAAGGAAGACGGTTTATGCCTCTGAAAATCTCTTAGGTAGCGAGACTCCACGGTCATAGTCCCTGAATCTTTGGCCCCTTGCCCTATTGACTAATATGCCATCATGGTCTGTATCATTTGGTTCGTCAGAGCCTAATTCTCTATCGAGGTCATCATGAACGTCTGAAACATCTCTGCTGTGGGCATGCCTAACGACTGGTTTAGTGGGACTTCTGTACTAGTGGTTGAAACCAATGGGACCTCCTCAGAGAAGGGAGCAGTAGGGGTATATCGAGCAGCCTTCGGGCCTTGGCCTTCCTTCGGCGTCTTTTTGTTCTTGATGGTTGTGGTATGATCCCCTCGCTAGTTTGGGGCGTATCCTTAACCTCCTCTTGAAATTCAGGTTGTTCTACTTCAGGTGATGGAACCGGGGTGTCTTGAACTTCCTCTCTTCTTCCCCTTCTAGGTCCGGGCCCAACATAAGGTTCGCGTCTCTTGGGTACCATTATCTACCACAATAGAAAGAAAAGGACTATGGTTACAATTCATTCGTAGCACATCTTCTAGATATGTGTGATTATAATGCCATACAAGGTCATGGTATACTCTATAAATACTAGCTTGACTTTTGTCTTAATGTTTCCATCACGTGAGAACATCTGGTCGTGAGCGGCATGTGTTTGACGAGCGTGGTCACAGAGGATACAATTCTTTATCCTAAATGTCTACAGGACTTATAACCTGGCTGCTGTGATACCAAATTTGTCACGACCCAATATTTTACCATGGACCGTGACTATCAACGACACATGAATGCAAAGTAATTTAAATATGCAATAGAGAAAATCATTTAATTCCAATAAAGTTTTCGAACGACAAACAAACAAACAAACAATAAATAGTTTGAAAACAAATTACGAAAGAATGCAAATACAAAATAAAGACTGGATTGACGCCCCGGGACAACCCATTCCTCTGTGACAATCCCCGTCTCCATCACGCCTGCCCTTGACCGATGCCTTGCGCTCCTGAAAAAGGAAAACATAGCAAGGATGAGTATAAAAATTATACTCAGTAAGCCAATCGCATCCTAACTTAACAGATTCTCACGGTCTCCTAATTCGGTTCTAGGACATCTGGTTCTAATCTTAGTTCCTTGAGCTTGCCCCTTGGGCTTCACTGGTTCATCGTCCTTTCATTAGATACCTAAAGGTTTCTTATGCTAAGATGATATGGTCGGTATCTCTCTATGAGGTGTTACCTCTGCATGACTATTTGGGCCTATGTGGTATCTAGCCTAGGGGTGTGCTGAGTACCTCCTAAGCCCATATAGTCCCCCTATGGGGGGCGCGACCCAACCCTTCCCATGCAGCTAATTGGCTGTACGACGTGGGGACACATTTCCCATGCGAAATGGCTAAGAGTAGTAAGAACTAGTCAGGAACCCTTGGTCCTCCCACGAAGCTATAGTTACCGTTCTCACACTAGCAATCTATGAACTCCTGAGGTACTTTGTTGCAGTGGTAATCCGTTAAGTTCCTAGGGAAATGTTAAGTTTAGCTAGAGCGACTTGTAGTTCCTAACATCAAATCTCTAGGCTTATCATAGTAATGGGCCATAGAAAATAACAGAGTGTGCATATAACCATCGTCTAACATCATACTATATAATTCATGCAAATTAGGCACACAGGCTCAACGGGGCGATGGCCTCCATCAAGCACCTAAAACGCGAAGTTCACGCTCAATGGGACGAAGTCATCCATTAAGCACCCAGAATGCGGAATACGCAATTCCAACATGAATTAACACATGCAAACGTACAAGGAAATTTAAAGCATGATCGCACGCTCAAATAATTCACCCAAAACTTCTCGTAGTATTACACATCATCAACTCATAACAATTATTCATAAGAGGCTACCACCTAAGGCGAATAACTAGCATGCATGCAGTCCAAGCGAATCCTACAAGTATTTCTTCCTAACACAAGGTGTGACTTACCTGGTTGACGCGTGCCCTTTTGCTAGCATTTTTATGCCCGTGAGGTGTCCAAAAATAATGATTTTTTTCAATTAGGTCCCTATTTACATAAAAATAATATTAAAACTAAAATCGGGACAACAATAGGGCAAACAGAGGGCAAACAAACCAAAATGACTGTCTCACGCACGCTCACGCGCCCTCACATGCTGGTTGGGCATCGACCACACGCGAGGAAGTGTGCCAGTTGCAGGCTGCACGCACGGCTGCTTCTGCACAGTCGCAGGTCGGGCGGTCCGATTCGACTCGGGGTTTGCATGCGACACATGTCGTCGTCTCACTAGGGCTGCGTTGCTCTAGCCGACGATTGACGCGTGTCCGGCACCTACCACGCCGCCCTCCACCACTCGCCGGCCGACACAGTCTCCTTTTTTCTCTCTCCTCTGCAATTCGTAACACAGAGTCACCTTTCTAATTTTCACATCTTTTGGTTCAGAGTTCAGATTGATATGATTTCTTCAGCAAGGTTCTAGATCGTGTTAAGGGCTATGTCCTGATATTTTTTCCGTAATTTTTTTACTTAACTACCGAACGAGTTAAGAGCGTCGGAAGTTCACTTACCATTCTCGGACGATTCTTAGAACTCCGCCTTCGGATCGAGATTTTGGCTGAACTTCTTCACAGATCGTGCGTAGAGTTGTTCCTAGGTGAATATCTCAACATTTTTAGGATTCGATTCATATAGAAAAAGCTTAGATCTGAAATCGTTCAGAACCTTACCTCACGAAACGTTCTTGGATCTTGACGAAGCGTCGGCCTCGCTAGCCTCTCAGTCCTTGTACAGGTCTCGTCTGAAGGTGGATTCTGACGGTGGTCCGATGAACTCCACGACGACTCTTTTCTATTTCCTATAAATTTTCTCTCTAACTTTCTTTTTCTTTTGAAGGAGATTTGATAGGGTTTTCCTTGAACCCCTATTATGGCTGGAGGGGCAAAATGACATTATTTTACTCCTCTATTGACTCCGTTTTTTTTTTTTTTGTGGCGTTACACACATATATGCATGAACTCACTAGGCGAGCTCATCAACGTACGCCTTAAATCTAACTATGGACTAGCGCACGTTTGCGCGACCAAAAACCAACGAAAAAGGGAAGGAATGTAAGTAAGAACGCGATGTGCGATCCATACATCATTTGTTGTAGAAGTAATCTATGCTCATATTATATACAATATGCATGAGACCTGACATTAAAAATCATAGTTCAATGAGATGATGCACATAAGACTTCTATACTTATAATGAAATAAATTCTAATGAAACATATTTACATATTCATAATATTTCACTCATACTTATCATATATGATATATCATGCTGTCCAACAAAGCATAAACATGATCATATCGACATAGTAGTCATGATCAAGCATAAGCAGAAGTACATGCATCACATAGTTTATTCAAACATCATAACATAAATAATAACACAGATGAGGTCATATGGTACGTGCGAATCATGCATTGAACAATGTTTTCCAACCTAGCATGTAAACATTTCAACAATAAATTCACTTACAACTTCATGCTCAACTTGGTGCTCTTAAACTCTTTTTAAGTGAACAACACTTAACTAAACCTTGACAAGATCTAATTTCACCTATGTCATTCGATGCATTCCCAATATTGAGTAGCCAAGTCGAAATGAGTAGGTTGGAGCCACCAAGCGAGTTGACATCTGGAAGCAGCTTTAACCACACATCAACCATGGGCTTGCGTAGGTGGGCTTGTGGGCCTCACGCTCCTAGGTTGTCAGTACGCTTGCATCATGGGCATTTGGGCTGCTTTGTGGATTGGTGTTCGCTCTTGGAATCGAGTTGATGCTACCCTTTTGACCTGTAGGTTTCTTCGCCCTACTTGGACCCGTAGTTTTCTTTGTTGAAGGGTCACTTGTAGATACATGTGTTGAAGGGTCACTTGTAGATACATGTATGAATAGATACATGTAGGTTCATTAGTTCATAATTAATTAAGTACATGACTTTTGGATAATGAATGGTATTGGGGAATGTTATATATATATATATGTATGTTAGCATTGGTGGAAGATGTAGAAAATCAATTAAGCATTCTTTCATAGTTATACAAAGTTCTATTCTCTCAAAGAATGTTACCAAATTTCTCTGCTGTCACCAACAACTGGTATCAGAGCGATCTTGTAACAGCAAGAATGGCAGCAGAAAGACAAGTTGATAACTACGTTTAGCCCGCCATCTCGAGAT